TGCTTGTGTTTGCAGTAATATTTGTATTCTATCCATGTAGGCACTGAAAATACTGCCAGTAAAGAAAATACCTGTAAATCACAAGGGAACAATAGAAGAAATTACTAACATTAAATTGATGAAAATTGTTCATGTACAAATTTATCAAGATGACATTTCTAAGTAACATCCTTGTGGGAGGATCACTAATATCTTCCCTTACCATGTCTCATAGGCTGGACATTTATAAGAGCCTCTCTCTTTAAATTAAGTTTACTCAAAGCTTAAAAGAGGATTTCTATCCTTCGTTGGGAAAATGCAACCCTTGGAGACCTCCTAAAAACATTTCAGACTGAAGGGCTTTGTTTTTGCATGCATTTCACGTACCAGAGTATGTGGTATCTGAGAACCAAATTGAGAAAGTCCATTCAGTTTACATCATCTACTGCTTGTGCTGCCAAACCTGAGCTAACAAACACCACCACCACTTCTCCCGTACCCAGTTTTTCTTCCTGGGGTTACTAGTTGCTTAGAATAGGTATTATAAAACTGATAAAAAACACAAGAAATGTGTCTGTGTGTGCAAGAGAGAATGTGTGCATGTGTGTGTGTGTTCTTGGGAGTGTGGGAGAGAGAAATAGAATTGCTACTCTCTCCTCCTAGAAGAGCCCATGTCTCATGACAGGTTGAAGGACATTTGCATTTGGTGAGTTACTCTGACCTTTAGGGTAGGAAGCAGCCCTGTGGCAGAGCTCAGATAGACACACAGCTTCTACTGTATGTTGGTGTTCTGAGTTCTCCATGTGTTTCTTGTTTTTGCTTATTGTACCCTTCATCGAGGTATTCTGAGGAGATTTTACCAAATTATGTGGTGTAATGACACAGACTGATTAGCTGTTTGGCCATGCGAGTTCACAATGCTTGCAACAAAATAATAGCTACCAGCACCTCTCTTCTCTGGATGCTTCACTGGAAACTAGAAAGATCTTTTTAAAAAATTATCTCTCTTGCCTTCATGATTTCTTGTCATCCAAGCATTACAGATAACTTAACTCAAACACAGTAACTTTGGTAAGAGGCTGCACAGGTTTTTTACTGTGGACAGCATGCTACTAAGAAACAGCAGAGATCATAATTATAAGCTGCAATATTTAACAACACCTGAGGAAACTTCCAGTCTGGCAGTACTGCTAAATAATGTTTATCTCATAATCTGTCATTGAAGGACTGTATGAGTTAAGGAAATGTGGTTTGATTTTTTTGTTGGGTTTTTTTTATATGGTTTAGGATTTTTTCCCCCTTTAAGTTTTTATGTCATGAACTAGATCCTGGTCAGCATCCCCAAGGATAATTTATCTGTCACTGTCTACTCAGGTTCCCAAACAAACATGGTCCAGTGCTGCATTGGGCAGGAGTATCATAGTTTTCTGTAGCTTCTTCTTTTGAGAGACAAGAGAAGAGCCTAACTTGTTATGAGAGGGACTTTTGAGATGTTGATGATAAGCTTGCATTGAACACACATGCAATTTGATAGCCTGAGTCAGGAGAAAGAATCAGCGTTTGAACTTTAGTTATGTGCATAGTTATAGGGACACGTGGCAACTTCACCTACAGAAAATAGACAGTAGAAATAGGAAATTAGACTGGATGCAGCATTTTACTCATGAGGACTTGTTTAGCCTGTAGAAAAATAGAACAACGTTAATACTAAACTGTGTCATTGTTGTCATCATCCTTCCCCCCACCCCATGTAGGTCAGAGCACACACATACGGTGTCTGCCATAATCTCCTTTCCTAAGTGTAGTTACATTCCAATAATCCCTTTTCCTCCTTATAGCTGCTTGCATTCTAATACCTCACCTTTTTTCCCCATCTTCCTCCTATGATTAGTGGTCTCAGAAAAATACAAATTGTCTGATGTAAGTAAAAGTACAACTCTTTGAGACAGAAGTAGCAAAAGAAAAGTTGCCCTGTGCATGCAAGAACCTGTGTCGATGACATCTTCCGCTGAACTCTGCCTAAGCAGCCTCCCTACCTTGGGAGCAGGCAGAGGATTTCCATGGTGGTGTGGGTGCCTTCTGGTTTTGGGTTTTTTTCCAGGACTTGCTCAGCTGACTTTTTACAGTTCAGTTTTGGTTTGGTCTAAAATAACCACAGTTTTAGTATCTTACTTTACCCGATATTTTAAATAAGTTTTATCTTAGAATACAGATATTATCTTGTAATAAGGATTTCTATCTTATGAGAGTGGTAGAAAAATTAAAGTGACATGTTTAAGAAAGTGAAAAATAACATTGCTGACCCAGGCAAATAAATTCAGTCTTGGCTTTACTGCGTAAACATTGAAGCAGGTGATTTCTGAGGTATAGTTTCTTCCTTCTCCCGTCTACAGAAAGAATATACTTCTTTCTGGGTTAGTTTTCTTTACCTTGAACAGAAAGACTAACAGATATCCAGCTCTGAAAAGAAAACAGAAGAAGATCCATCTATAAGAAGAAAAAATTTCATACTAGATAGTGAAGAAAAATAGTTTGAAGAATATTATGTGTGTAATTTATTTCACAGTTGGTTTGTTATTTGTCAGACAATTGTAATGCCCTGAAATGCAAGTGCATTAAATTAACCAGAATTGTCATCATCCATTCGGTTTGACTAAACATGTCAGTGATGTGGCAAAGTTAAAACAACAGACTCTGGAAAGATCATACCATTGCCAGAAAAAGAAAAAAAGGTAACTACTCAGTGGAGAAGGCAGACCAGCATGGTTAAAGACAGTAAATTAAATCCTACTTGGGAATCTGACCCTGATGATTCAGAAAAGCGCTTAATCTCATCATTTAAGCATACGAGTTCTTCTCTCTCTAAGCGTGCACATTGTCCCACTGAGGTAAGGGTGAGGTTGAGTTCCAAGATTGTTGTCATAGAGCTCAGCATCTCTCAGACCAGAGCCTTCATTGACCTGATGAGGGACACATCTTGCAACAAGATTTACGTATTGAATGGTATTTGTGTAGGCATTTGTATAGTGCAAGTTCAATGCTACCCAGGGGTTCCAAAGGCAGTCAGAAAATTATTGTTATGTTTGGGTACAAAGGGCTATAAAATGTTTTATACTGTAAGGTGCAAGTCTTTTTGTAATTGTGGCATGGAAAAAATGTAGAGGTATAGAACAAATTTAAAAAAACATATACAAATGTATCTGATGTCTAGAGTTATGCAGTTGAAAGGTTTTATTGATAAATTATGCCCTCGATTTGAATATACTTCAAAACCTGTAGTCAAAAGGAATTACTATTTTGTGCTACATTGGTAGAATGTCTTTATGGTGCGTTGACCCTGGCTGGATGCCAGATGCCCACCAAAGCCCACTCTATCACCCCCCTCCTCAGCAGGATGGGGAGGGGAGAAAATAAGATGGAACAAAAAAAAACCCCCTAAACTCGTGGGTTGAGACAAAGGCAGTTTAATAGAAGCAAAGCAAAGCTGCACATGCAGAAGCAAAAGAACAAAATATTTATTCTCTGCTTCCCATCAGCAGGCGATGTTTGGCCACTTCCCGGGAAGCCGGGTTTTCATACACGTTGCACTTCCCAGAGGACAAACGGAAGTAATGAATGCCCCCCTTCCCCCTCCATTCTCCTTGCTTTTATTTCTGAGCAGATGTCATATGGTATGGAATATCCCTTTGGTCCATTTGGTTCAGCTGTCCTGGCTGTGTCCCCTCCCAAGACCTTCCCCACCCCAGCCTACTGCGGACGGAAATGTTGGAGAGCCAGTCTTGATGCTGTGCTGGCCAGCAGTAACCAAAACACTGGAGTGTTATCAACACCTCGAGCCACCGATACAAACAAAGCATTCTGAGCGCTGCCATGGAGAAAATCAGCTCCATCCCAGCCAGACCCAATACCCACAGTCTTATGTGGGCATTATTTTCAAATAAAAAACTACTGGATGAAACAGTGTAAAACTTAAAATTCGTTTCACTGTTTTGTTGGAAGCAGCTACTCCTTTACAGAGGCAATGGCTCTTCAATCAATGAGTATTGTTAGGTGCATTATGGATTGTTTAAGGGCTTGAGTACCAATTTTATCTCCATGGGTACGTAACTGCTATGGAGTTAGTCACTAAAGTTATGTTGTTGCTTCTTCCTGTGGAAAAATTGTAAGTGATAAAAATGGACATATAAAATACTGCAGGTCTAAACTAATCTGCTGGCAATGTGTGCTCACTAATCCAAACCTCTGCTTCCTGGGTATACGGGACAGGACAGAGGCTTGTGGGAATCTAACTGGACCTTAGACAGGAGATTGTCCAGAGTAGACTGTGACTCTGCATCTGGAACAAGAAGCTGACAGGGTTGGTGCTACAAGGGCTATAATTAATCTCACCCCCGTGGCCTGCCTTATTTTGGTGGGAGATGAGACCTTTATTTCCATGGCACTTTCATCATCTTCCATGCTGCCCATCCCTTGTGTATAACATCCTTCTCCACTGGGAATTAAGTGCTGCTTGGCAAAGAGGGCAGCTTTCCCTTGGAAGACTTTATTGTTGGGGAAATTTCTCTGCTGCCTGTCTTCTGATCCTTTAAATCCATTTTGTTGTATGTAGCTTTTGTACTTAAGAATTGATGTTGTAATAATCTGCATTGCTGGTGAGTTGCACATGATGAATATCAGAAGCAATTAGCATGCCCTACAGAACATGCCTTCACAGCAAATTTATTGCACTGTAAGCTGCTACTGTTTCAGTGAAAAGCAATCATGTATATAGGAAAACAAAGAGACAGATTGTTGTTCTTGTGTGTGGGCAGGAAAAATTAAATGCAGAAAGCAGTGAAAAAAATTGGTAAAAGTTGCCATATATGTTGTGTGTATAAATGGTAGACATAAGGACAAATCTGTGGTTTGCCAGTTTAATAGGAGCTCATTTGGCTACAAATACAAAAACTACTGAAAACTAAAACCAAGTGACTACTCCAACACTTCTTAATTCCTTTTTACATTCCCCTGATGTTTTGCAGCTGTGCAATGGTGGATCTGTGACTGATCTTGTGAAAGGATTTCTGAAGAGAGGTGAAAGGATGAATGAACTTATAATTGCTTACATTTTACGTGAAGCACTGATGGTAAGATATGCTCTCAGTGAAAGGACAGTCAATATCAGCTCATATTTTTTTCTTTGAATGAATGAAGATCATGTCCCCGCTAACATGGCTCACTGTCTTGTATTATAGCAGTGTTTAATGAAATGAAGGAAATGTGTAATTCAGACAATACTTTTTGAACAAGCAAGGTGAAGAACAGTTAATCTGTGTCATTATTAAGAAAATGAAAATTGATTTCTGACCATTGATTAATTTCCTTAGTAAATACAGTTCTGCATCAAAATTGCTTTTCTTTTGAGTACAGAAATGTACACAAAATTCTGTTAAATTTCGTATGTCTACTACAAGAATTTTTTTGTTTTTTGGCTAGTCCGAATCAAGTATCTTTATTTTTCATTTTCTTTTAACTGAATTTGACTTTCTGCAGTGGAATTTAGGCTTTGGCATTTTTCTTTGAGTCTATACTCTAAAGGTATAATACATAATGTAGATTTATAGTGCTTTTTTCTGCTTTTATCTTAAAATTTATATTTGACATAAAGGAAGGGCAATTTAAAAATATCTGTTCCTTATGGTGTGTTAAGGGTTTTTCCAGTAAGAATGACATCTTTCTGGTTTGGATTAAAAATAAATCTGATTTAAGTTTTTTCATACTTTTCTGCTACCTTTTTGTTTCTGCCAATGTAATACAGAGGACAGAGCTGTTAGTAAAAAGTTCGTATTTACGTCTCGCCTTCCAGGGACTTCAGCATTTGCATGAAAACAAAACTATCCACCGTGATATTAAGGGAAATAATATTCTTTTGACCACTGAAGGAGGAGTCAAGCTTGTGGATTTTGGTATGTTATGTTTACTTATATACAACCTTATATATACAACCAATGTATGGAAAATAAAATAAGAGTAAACAAATCAGAAAAGATTAATTATATTAATTTTTTTTAAGTTTTTGAGTTCTACATTAAAAATCACTTGGATAACCAAAGCTACTTTTTAATTTGATAGAAATAAAATATTCACAGACTTGGTGGTTTTGCCACTTTGAGTTTTCCAGCCATTTTGCTAATGCTGTTTCGATAGCATGGCTAACAAATAGAAGTTATAATATGTTGGTAGTAGGTGCCAAATTCTGTGAGGCAGACACAGAAAGTGTAGTGGCAAAGTGAGTTCATAGGGTTCAAAATAAGGTTGGTGTTTGGTTCCTCCGCACTGTGCACTAGGAATCAGTGAAATTAGGAGCTGATAGGCAAAAGCTTCATGTAGTGTATGAGAGGACTTAGAATTTACTAGATATTGTGAAGAATGAGAGAGCTCCACCTCAGTCACATATACCATATACCGTAGTTGGATTTGAAACAAAATAAGAGATACTGCCTGAAGGCAGTAGAAGGGGAGATATTATGTAGGTAATCCCCACTTCTCAAAGTCTGGGAAGATTAACAGATTACTTTTGGCAAGTCTAAACCTAAGAACTGGCATTAAATGAAAAGGATCTGTTCAAGTGTGTTGGCCTAAAGTGATTCTTTAATGCTGTCATCTGGTTTCATCACTGAAAGGTAAAAGCAGAGACATAGGTAAGTGGATGCAACCTGTTATTTAGCAGCTGTACCACAGTGATTTGCCTTAAATGTGTATTGACTGTTGTTTTATGTAAAAGGGTATAAAAATTTGCAATGCTTGTTACGAAATATTATTCTCTGGCAGCACACCATCTTCTAATGTTTGAATTCAATGTATTGGTTGCTACTTCACAGCATAGCAGACAATTGTAAAAATCCTTTTCCTTTGCTCTCCTATTTTGTTAATGAGATTTATTCAATTGATACATACTAATTGTTTAAACTAATCATGGAATTAGTGCAGTGTCTTCCTCCCAGTAGTTGTATTTATTCTACTCTCACTATTTCACACACACAAAACCCCTACAACTATTAGGGTTAGTAATTCTTCTGAAAATTCATGTATTTATGTTCATTATTTTTATCCTCAGATAAAATCTTTCATTGAAAAGTCTTCAGACTTCCTAAATTATCTGCTGTACACACTTATTAGTATTTTTTGATAGTCTGGAAGTTTAATGTGAGGCAAAATCAATATTTTTTTCCCACAGGTTTTTAATGTGTTGTGGATACTAAGTTTTTAAGGTGCTGAAGGCAATTAGAGCCCTGGAGGATCGGTGCTCCTGAAAATTAATTTGCTTATGCAGATGTCAAAATATACAAGCTGTAGGGATGAGGAGTTGAATTTTTTATTCCCCAGTTACTGCAATCTACTGCTAAGACTGTAATTGAAAAATAATCTTAAAATCTTATGGGAAAAATTGTGATGCCAGATGAGAACATATGCAAGAAACAAACATACATACACACACATTTATGTGGGTTGAAGATGGACCTGTAATATCTGCAGTCCTTCCTCTCAAAGGAATATAGGAATTGCACCTTAAATTAGGAATAGATAGAAATTTTC